TCATGGACATGGAACGAACATGTCTGGTACTCATCCCATGAGACATCCAGCACAGGACAAGCGTTAATGGCATTCCATGATGCATATGAGCATCCTGGGAAAAAGGCCATCCACGAGAAGCTGATCCAATCAGATACAGTTTCAGAACACAATCTGTCCGTCACAACAAATCACACCCTTCTGACAACAAAGCTGATGGCGCCTGTCAAAAAAACAGCACAACCCGACCTATGCGATTCTGGACAATGGATGTACCAGATCTATGGGCAGCTGGCATGCAATCCAGCTTTTTACTCAGGCCATCGAACCAATGAAGGACATCATCTCCTATGAGTACATCCCGGCCGAGACCAAGTTCACTTTTGCAAACGGAGAGACCGCCAGGGTAAATTGGACCCTGCATCTTCGATATCCATGCAGTACCAACATCGACGTCCTTGAACAAGGAACTGTACCGATCCTTCTCAGCATCAGCCAGATGCGGAACCTCTACTGACCATGAGCACACACCTCAATGTGACAAGATCACATGCAAGGCCTTTGGCATGAACCGTCAAGCAGTTCCAGTATCCGTACAGGACATGCACTCGTCGATCTCGCTGGAGTTGCAAGAGTGAAGGCGCATGGAGAAATTGCTCACAAGGGCCTCATCAACTATGTCTATGACGATGATAACAGCATCAAGCTTCTTTTCGGGGATCTCACCAAGAGCGAAACTGTTTGTGCAGCAAAATCATCCGAGCAAAGGAGGACCTAGCAACTCCTAAGATCATTGGGTCTCAAAAGCAGGACCATTGGATCCTTGACAAGAAGAACAAGCAGCCCATCCGTGTGCACATCACGCCCCGAAAGGCGCTGTTCACACCAAATGGAGCCAAGGAATGTCCAATCAATCCTGATCACGTTAGCCGAGAACGTGCTACGGAAATCATTGATGCATCCGCAGGTGGAGATCCAGACAGTCTAGAAGACAATTGGAGACTTACATCCCAGGCAAATAAACCGATGATTAACCTGTGGACAGGTAAGACCATTTTCACCTTCGCGGACAATTCGCTCAAGGACGAAGAAGCAGGTTCAGGATCGGCAGCAGACAGGATCATCGACAAGAGGGGCCGGTCGACTATTGAGCCAGATCCTTTCGCACCATCCTCAGAAGAACCAACATCGCTTTCGCTTGCCCTAGGCAGAATACACAAGCGATTGTGAATTCCCGAGGAGTTGAAGAAACTCCACCTGCAGCATCATCGCATGACAACAGATCAATTTCGATTTAGAACCCGAGCACTTCATTTGCCGAAATCAACCTTCGATCTATTTGACAAGATCCGGAGTGAGTGTGAAGTTTGCCAAGCGGCAAAACATGCACCATCACTAAGCAAAACAAGTGGACTTCGAGCGGACACCTTTGGTGACATGACATTCATTGATCACTGTCACGTTCCTCTTGGAACAGGAGAACACATCATTGTTTTTGTCATCCTGGATGGAGCAACAACATTGCTCACTGCAGAGGCAGTGACAACTACGCAAGAAGTCGAGAACATCACTGTCCTCAGGAACCATTTTGACCAGTACCACTTACAGCCCAAATCAGTTGTCGCAGATCAAGCCTTCATGACAGATACATGGGAACAATTCTATCAGTCCCTTGACATCACACCGATATCCTTGGGACCGAATACACCATGGCCAAATCGAGCTGAAGCAGCAGTTCGACTCCTGAAGGCACAACTCAAGATCATGCTAAGTTCCACCAAAGCAGGTACAGCACCTGCGACACTGAAGAAAGTGACATACAGGCAGCTACGGGGGTGTAACACCATTGGAGCTCGCATTCGGAAGACGACCAGCAGATCTCATCCAACTCGATGTCGCAACACCAACTCAGTTGACGATTGACAGGAATGAAGAAGAGCTGACAGCCATCCAGATCAAGCAGCTGTCAAAGCAAGCTTTCCAAGAAGCACGTCAATCCGAAGACATCCGACGAGACCTTGCTCAAAATCTCCGAATGAGTTCAAAGCCTCTTCAGGTGAAGGACAAGGTATTCTACTGGCAGGAAGACAAATCCAAGATCCGTTCCGATGGAAGCAAGGGAGGAATATGGCTAAAAGGAAAGGTCATTTCCATTGAAGGAGCGATGGTAGGACTTGATCTTGGGACTCGACTCATCAAGGTTAACATGACGAAGCTCAGGAAGGATGAGACCATTTTTTTGGGGGGAAACCCGGAATTGATCTTCTATTACCAGAAGCGAGAATCCTTGCAGAAGGAGCAACCAGGCTCCTCTGCAGACACCAAGAGAAAGGAATCATCCGCACCAGCTCCTAAGCCAAGATCCTCAGTGCCATTACGTATCGCGGGAAAAACAACTCCAAAACCTGCAGTACCTCATCCAGCAGAGAACATGTTCGTCGAGGACCTCACATCCATTCCTGAACAAGCGCATTGGAATTGTGTACGTAAGGGAAAGATCCACGTTCTCGAGATCTTTGCAGGAAGTGCCAGATTCAGTCAATGCTGTGCACTATCAGGTCTTAAGGTTGGGACTCCCGTAGACATCCGCACAGGATTCGATGTAATGACATTCAAGGGACGACACATGGTCATGGAGATCATCAGGGAACAAGCATCTGATGTCATCCTTATGGCACCGGTCTGTGGACCATGGTCAAATATGCAGAACATCCAACAAGACCAACAAAAGGTTGGGAAAAAGCGGAGACGCTACCCTCCCATGGTTGAATTTGTGGCATCCATTGCGCGATATCAGTTGAAGCACAGAAGATACTTCATCATCGAAAATCCTCAGACATCCAGGATATGGTATCTGAAATGCGTGCAACAATTGTTTTCAGGTCCATCCGTGAATTGGGGAGATTTCCATGTCTGTGCATACGGACTTAAAGATCCTGAATCCGGGCTCAGAAGTCTCAAGCCCACGAGCTTGATGCACTGTTTACCTCCCGAGGTTATGAGACCGATCTTCAGAAGGTGTAAAAAAATTTCCAGCTCAGTCAAGCATGAACACCAACCTGTAGAGGGAACGCTGGTACCTTCGGAAGCAGGACCAAACTGGCACAGGTTTATCCTTACCAGTTCTGTCAGGATCTCGCGCACATCCTCCTACGACACTTGCAGGTGAAACCGCTTGACAATGAGGTGTACCTCTTGGAGGACCTTTTTGAACCATTCACCATCAAGCAGGTTGATATCCTGAGAAAGGAGATGGAAGCCATTGACAAGGAGTTCAACATGACCAGCAGCAGTCTTGCAGTCAGAATCCAAGACCTGCCGTTCAACAAGGACGTTCAACCATTAGTCATCCAGGATCCGCTAGTTCAGAAGTTCCAGAAGACGATGAAGCAGTACCCACCTGGGACTGAAATCGATATCTTCAAGCAAGATCCTAATGACTGGCGATGTCAGAACATGTGGAATGGCTGTAAGAAGTTGAGACAATTGTGCATCTCATCCACTCAGTATGATGCATGCACCGCATACGTCCACACCATTGGCATCAATATGCCTATTACGTCACCTCCGGACGATGCAATCATATCCTTCTGGCAGCCTGATCAGCTGAATAGAATTTGGGTCTTGCCTGCATCAAAATGCAATTGGGAGAAGTATGATCCGAAGACTTGGCATGCTGTGATGTTTTCATCCGTTCATCAGTCGTTCACCGATGCGCCGGCTATCAGGCCGATGCCCATCGAGACGGATCCATGGATCCAACGGATGCACCTCAACAACCTGACACGCAGCAGCCACCTGATCAACCGGACCATCCCATGCCTGATCCAAGACCTCCAACGCCACCGGACGAGAACATGTCAGATCCTCCTCCGGATCCTCCACATCAGCCTGATCATCCCATGCCGCCAGCACCACGCAGTGTGTCACCAGACAGTCCAGTGGATCCTCCACTACCGCCACACGACAAGCCTGGCGGAGGAGATGCAGCGCTTAAACGGCAAAAACAGTCCATTTCATCCTCAAGTGGACTCAATCGACTGGGGGGTGATGTCTCTTTGCCGTCACAGTCGCAATCATCTCAGCCAATTCTTCCGACTGTCGTGGTACCTTCACCACCTGCGATTCTTACAAATCCCGAAGCAGAAGATGAAGATCTTGAACTGCCAACACTTGCGCAAGAAGAAACAACCGGCAGTCCATCAAAGAAGCAGAAGACTGGGAAGAAGAAGAAGAAGCCAGATGACAATGATGAGTCACCTGGGCATTCTCCCAGACATGATCCTGCATCTTCATCCAATTATAATCCGAACAATCCAGCGAATTTGCCGGTCCAATATGAAAGTGAGGAAGAGCTGATTCCTCATGTTCCAACCTCATCCGGCACTGGAAGTTCAGAAAGAACCATGAGATACACTGACCAGGAAGATGGAGATTCAGAAGACTCTCAGAGGACCAGATCCTACGATGATCACCAAGCTGATCTCGTTCTAGATGAAGCGCATTGGTCACTCATGACAGCCGAACAGAAGATCTGTGCGAACACCGGATCCTTTACGGTTCCGAGAGATATCGAAGGCAACCCTGTCCTTCTTGGACGTGTGAAAGGGACCTTCGCCCCGATGCGGATTCTCTCATCAGAAATACACAGATCAGAATCATGTTTACCAGTTATGCAAGAACATAGTTCTGTATTCATCCAAGCAAGAATCCTTGAAGGCTTCCTCCACATCCGCACTCATTGGCAAGAAGCGGAAGGAAGCTACAGCCACGGAAATAAGAGCTTATCAGAAGCAATTCCTAGAAGCCAAGCAGCTTGAGTGCAAATCATGGCTTGACAAGGAAGTGTTCGACTTAGTCGATACACGCAAGATTCAGGTCAGGAACTGGGTCACCGGTCGCTGGCGGTTGGAATGCCTGCCGTACGGCATCTTTCTGACCCTCCGGGCAACTTGCAATGCTACGCATTTCCTTCGTGATAACCCTTTCATGTGGCACTCTTGTGTCCGGCCGCGTGGGCCATGATGCACTGCCTGCCAAGGGTTTTTTCCGGGGGATCCCCGCTTCGGGTAAGTGACTGGTCCGAGGTGCCTTTTGTTCTGCCCCCTTTTGGTTTTTGGGCTGTTTCCGTTGGCTTTCTTGTTTCCTCGGCTTGTGACTTACCCCTTGCGATGCTGGCCGGGACCCCAACACCGGGGGGGGCCTTGACTTTCGTTGCGTCGACTCGGGGGTACCGGGCACTCCTCGGGGGGACGGTACTCCCTTTCTAAGGGAGGGAAAGGTCACCGGTCGCTGGGTTCTAACCCTGAAGCGAGACAAGGATGGTAACTTCCTGAAGACCAAGGCTCGCTGGGTCCTCCGAGGCTTCCAAGACAAGCAGAAGAATGATCAGCAGACAGACAGTCCTGCTGCATCCAGGAGTGGTTTCCGCCTTGCAATCCAAGCAGCCTCAAATAAAGGCTGGAATATATTCCACATGGATTTGAAGACAGCATTTCTCCAAGGCGAAGCATACGATCAGTCTCGTGACATCATTTGTCAGATACCTCCTGAAAGGGGATATCCACCACACATTGGAGCGCGCATGAAGAAGCCTGCCTACGAACTGAATGACGCACCCCGCAGATGGTGGAACATCCTTGACTCGGCACTTCGTTCCTACGGACTGGTGCCAACCCGGGCAGACCGTTGTACATACGTATACTACGGCAAGCAGCTTCCGAAGCCCGCATTGGTGAGTGAAAAGAAGTCATCCACAACTTTCGATCTCGAAGGAGCAGTTGATTACCTCATGGATCCTGTTTCTGGTAACAATGCCAAGAATCGACAAGTTCATGGAGCACTGTCTCTTCATGTAGATGATCTTCTTATGACGGGGGATGACGTGTTCGAGAAGGAAATCATGGGGCGACTTCGGAAAGATTTTCAGGTTGGTTCCGAGGACAAAAATGATTGCCTCTTCGTAGGACAGCGCATCCAATGGAAGCAAGATGACAAGCACGGTTGGTACATCAATGTTCATCAGAATGTTGACGAACTGCAGGAGATCACTTTTGACAAACACCTGAAGGACGACACTCGTCTTACTCCACAAATGCATACTGCATACAGAAGTGTCCTAGGTCAGATCAACTGGTTACAGTCGCAAACGCAGTTCCACATTGGTTATCAATTCTCCAGGTGTGCATCCAAGGCATCATCACCGACCATTGAGGACGTTCGCGCCATTAATAAGACCGTCAGAACCATCAAACGCATCCCGCTTAGCATGAGATTCTGGCCCCTTCGTGGCAAGACACGCATAGTTGGCTATCCAGATGCATCTTATCGCAACAACGAGGATAAGTCATCAACGTGCGCATGTTATCTTTCTTGCAGAACAAAGAGGTCTTCGCCAGGGCTCATCAAACTCGAGAGGCTCACTGGTCGACTATGAGACGCACAAGATCACCGCCACAACCATGTCCACTACTGTTGCAGAGTTGCACGGACTAATGCGTTGTTACGGTTCAGCATTATTTCTTCGCGGCCTCTGGTCAGACATAACGGGCGAAATTGCAGATGTACACATCCGCACTGATGCGAACAATCTTGTCACCACAGCATCCACAACACATCAACCGGAACAGAAAGAAACAATGCATTTGGTCCAGATGTTGAGAAAGGAAGGCAACAGTGGACAGATGCACGACCTTGCACATGTACGGAGTGAAGATTGTCTGGCAGATTCGCTGACCAAGCATTCAGCTAAAGCAGACGAGCTCATCAAGGCCGTCCTCACCGGCAATCTCTTGAATGTAGATGCACATCCACCCTTCCGTACCATGTTGCAGAACAAGGCATTTTTGGTTGAGTGGCTAGCACACAACACGAAGCACGGACCCGACATCATTGCCTTTGCAGGAGTCGGTATAGCAGAATCCATGTTTGCTTAGTGGGGAACCTGGGCATGATCCGCATGTCCACGAATTCAGATGCATGAGTTTTTCCGTTTTGCATATTTTCGATTCAATTCCTCAATTCCGTGATGCGCGTGTTTGCACTTGACCCATTTTGAATCTCAAGAAATATGTGTCTGCATCCGCAGCCACTTTCGGTTTACAACCAATCCGACCTTTGCAATCTTGTATGCTCGATCACTTCGAAGACATGCCCATTCTCAATATGATCTTCGGACGATCCAGTGCCGCGGCACCTGTGCCAAAGCCAATGATCAAGAGACGGGCATCACCGTTGAAGGAATCCCCTGCTCGTGATGAGGAAGATGAGACATCAGACTGCCCTATGGAGCAAGTCGCCGATGAGAATCCATCCGCCTCTCAGCAACCCGAGAATGTCAACATGGAGCAGGTTGATTATGATCCAGATTCCGACGACGATGATTCAGATGAAGAAGGGCGTCCTCCCGCAGGAAGGCCTACGTCAAAGGCGATGCCGCATCCGAAACTTGTTCCAAAGTCACCGCCACCAGCATTGAGGCTTGTCTCCAAGGTCAAGCCAGCACCAAAGAACATCCTGGATGAAGAGACGGAATCCGACGATCATCCTGGTGATCGACCTGCACTTCCAAGGCGACCAGTCATGCGACCTGTTCTCACATCCAATGCATGATCGGTGGTTTGTAACATATGGTTTACATCCGCAGCAAATCTGCAACCAAGCAACGCAGCTCTGAGAGATACCAGGAGTACATCAAGAAGAAACAAGCCTGGACCCCGCAGGAGTACAAGGACTACAATAAGCAGTGGGGACATCAGAAGCAGTGGAAGGACTATAGCAACTCGACCTGGAATGATTATGGAGACTATGGCAGTCAATCCGACAGCAGCCGCCGATGGTATCGTCGATCCGATTGACCATGAAGACTCATACGTTCAGCGCCACGAACTCAATTCAGATGATTGATCCTCGCCGTCTACAAGACTTTCACAATCGTCCAGCGTGTACATAGCGTTGCACATCACCCTTTGATACACCTAGGTATCTCAAAAAGAAGCAGTACATAGTGTTTTCCATTTCGAAAGCCAAGACATTTCATCCGAGCAGAAAAGAGGATGAATCCGGCATTTTTAATACGCATGGCTACGGCATACAGCATGGCTACGGCATACATCAAGGCTACGGCCAAAGGCCATGAAGCCAATAGTATTTCATACTTCGTGCTGGAGATCAAAAGAAATTTGTGTCTGTTTTGTGTTTGGTTCTCAGACCAGTTGATCTCCCGCAACATTTGGCTCAAGGCCCCTTTTGTATATCATTGCATCATTCATGATCGCGTGAAGCAAAAGAACCTTAGCAGGCCGCTTCCAGGATTATCCACAAGACAATCCACCAGGGACAATCCATCCTCCAATCATCCACATTGGCATATTGGATTCTCTCCGGAATAGATCCAGGGACCAACAAAACGACCTCTACTACCACAGGGTACCAGTTCTCTTCGGGGATAGGCACCTGGGGCAGTGGGCCTCACCCCCCCCCCCCCCGCCACCTGAATGGGGTAAGCTTAAAGAAATTAACCCATGTGCTGTATATTTGGAGCTGGTTTCTTTGAATAGGTGTCCAACACAGGTGGTGTTTGCTTGGCTTCCTAAGCAACAACCCTTGATTGGGGGGATGCCCAACTTTGTTTCCCCCTTCAGATTTCTTAACCAAGCCCAACAAGGCTACCCTCAAACAGATCTTGGCCGTATCTTGTATACAGGGTGTTTCTCTGAATGCGTGTCCAAGCAAAATAGGAGGATCTCCCAAATGGTTTCGCTTGGGCAAAAAATACCGACACAACTATATTCTGCTATACCTCCTTTGACTCCCAGCCATTCTCAAATGGTGTGTGCACCCTTTGTTTGGGACTGATTTCCTGAAGATTAACTGGTTTTCTGGGGATCTCTCTCTGAGCATTCAAGTTCCATTTAAAGAGGTACACATTCAAGTTATTTGCTTCAACTACTTTAACCTTTTTGAAGCATGAAAACCATCTAGCACAGTCAGCCTTAACTCTAGCAGTGCCTTCCCCATTCTTTCAGCAACCCTTCTCTTCAAACAATAGGCCAAACTGAACAAACGTATTTTCCCAGGAAAAGGATGGGTGAAGACAATGGAATAGGAATCTTCCATGGTAGACTTAAACCTGGGATTGGTTCATTGCCCCCCAAACCTTAAACTCTTAGGTTTGCCAATCCGAGGCACCTTCAACTTCCTGGCCCCCTTCGCGGCCAACCGCCGTGGCTTCGGCTTCCGCGGCAGCCGTGGATTCCGCGGCGTCCGAAGCGAGAGCCGAGGGCCGCGGCTGGCGCGTTTGGCGCGGCGGGCAGCAGAGGAGCAGCCAGGCGGGGCCTCGGGGTTGGGGGGGTGGGGAGGTGGGGTGGTCGGTGGTCCGCCCTTTATTTTGTTCTCGTTGTTGGCTGTTGTTGGCTGTTGTTGTTTGTTGTTTTTGTTGTTTTTGTTTGTTGTCTTTTGTTTTTGTTGGATGGAGGGGTGTTGTTCGACCAAGTTAGTGGGAAGCACTCACCAATGACAGGGGAAGCCCTTTGCGGGTGACTTAGCTGGCCGAACACCCAAGCAGCAGAGTTGGTTCCCGCCGCGGTTTTGTTCAATTTGTTCTAGAGAGATTGTGGTTCCCAGGTGTTTGGGCGTTTGGTGTGGTTTGGGGCTTTGCAAGAGCGATAAGAGAAGTGAAGTCGTAAAATTCAATGCCTAGTCGTCTAGTTGATTCCAGTTGTCGTGTTTTTCGCAGCTTGCTTTTTGGGATGGGGGTTCCTCCGACCCTGTTTCTCCAGGTCGGTTAAATGCGTAAGATGCGTCATGGAGGTATGGAACTCCAACAACCAAAAAAAGAGTTTGGCACTGCCTGCTGGTTGCTAATAACCTGCTTTGGGGTTGCCATTGCTAAAGGAAGCGACCACTTAAAGCCTCAACCGCAGCAAAACAGTCGCAGGGATGGGAATCAACCATGTTGGTCACAGAAGAATAGCCATTTTCTACAGCCATGTTGTGGGGTGTTTCCTTATCGACCTCCCCTTGATAAGGATGATTGTTTCCAACCACAACCAAGAAGCATAGTAACAGCTTCCCCGCATATGGTTTGGGTTGGGACCATCCGGCCAAAAGGACACCCACCGGGCTCGCCTAATTTGAGGAAACTTGGCGGCACTTTGTCAACATGTACCCTTACACTCATGGTCTACCAACGATCATGGCAAAACATAAGTGTAGGGCGTACGGCGTACTTTGCAAACGGCACCCCCTTAATTAGTTAGCCTGGTGGATAAATATTGTGTTTTTTTTGTTTGCCAAAAAGTGTTCCGGATCCCTGTCAAATGGGCCACCCCCTGTCAATCCTCATATTAAGTCTATTCATCCCGATTCACTTGCATTCCATGATCTCAATTGTAGAGGGTCAGTGCGGGCTTCTCAACTCAAAAGTGCCTGGTCATCTCATCGGTAGATGGGGTAGGTAAGACTATGTGTTGTCCTATCTTCTCTGGGTCGACATTAGGCCGTGTTTTGAGTGGACCGACGACGCTCGTTTGAGCCAGGCATTAGCTGGATCAAGCTGGACAGATCGTCGCAGACGGAAGCTGCCGAGCCGACCGGTGACAGGAGCCGCGAAGACGTTCCGACTGGTTGGAGCCTCGTAGCCAAGCCCAGAGGGTTCGGGGGGTACAAGGCCTTCTCAGGCACTCGGACCCTTGAGGAAAGCCAGCTTGAACAACCTTTGGACCAGGAAAGGACCATCTTTTCAATTGAAATCCCGCAGAATGGGACCGAAGGATTCACAAACTCTGGTAGAGAAAAGGAGGGGTAGCATCCTAGTGTTTGGATGAGTTGTTTTTTTGGAAGCCCATCCTGCCCCAGATTGGGGATTGATTTAAGCATTTGCACCTTTGAAAAGGGTACGCTTTCCCCAATGCTTGCAGGGTCATGGAGACTCCTGGTACCCTCCTGGGGTCTCCGACATCCTTTTACATTTCAAGGTTGACGACATTTGAAACATAGTATGACATTGGTCCATCCTGCTCCAAATACTTTCCACGGGTATAATTGGAAAAAGCCTGGCTTTCCTGGTAAACACGCAGCCGTTTTTTGGGTCAGGGGTGCTGCCGTAAATACGCAGCCGTATATGCTTCCCCTTCCCGGATGACCCCTTGTGAACCCGCACCGGTCGCTCGACGCGTGCGTGGACGCTTGCGTCGGCCAGGAGCGTGCTGCCGCTGTTCCCGATGTCGGGGGCCTACTTCCCCCACGCACAGCCGGAGCTCAGCATCTTCGAGCCCAGGACGGGACAACGCGTGGGAGGTACCATCTCATATCTTTGCTCTGGACGAAAAACATGATGCCGGAAGAGAGTTGAATCCTGGGCTTTGCTGTTGATCGTTGACCAAGTGGAGGGATGGATGTGAATGAATTTGGGTGGCGGGCCCGAGAGGCACCCGGGAAGAGAGGTAAGGATGGGGTGGAAGGGTGGAGACATCATTTCCGTTGATTTTTGAGCAGACTTCCCAAAATTCGGAGAGACATAAGGCCCCCTTTCCATACCCTTAGAAAGGTACGATGAGATCCTTTTAAAAAGCACCTAAAAAGGTTCCTTCAGAACCTCTACTGGCCCACTTGCCCAGTGGCGCCTGGTTTGCCTTAGTTTTGTGGAATGCGTCATCCTTTAAAAAACAAGTAATCAACCAAACCTGTCGGAAGGTCTTTGGTTTTCTCCCCACATGGTTTGTCTTAATTTGTTTAGCCTCTAAGCGGCTTTTGGAAGGGTCTATTGAAAGAAGCAACGCATTTGCTAGAAGGTTGTAACATATCTCAAATACCGACCACTTCAAATCCTCCGAATTGAAACGATCACAGCAATTGTATGAACTCGTTAGGAAAGCTGCTTTGGGACACCCCCTTATGAGGTTCGGGGAGAACTTTCCCAGGCTGTTTTTTTTTCTATATTGCCTATCTGGCAGTGCCTCTCAGCGATTGCGTGACTTCCTGCAGGGATGAACCACTTAAGACTTAAGCCAGCGTAATGTGCCTAAAAATGCGTGAGTAACCGCACCTGGAGTAAAGTTACCTCCCGGGCACGGAGGTAATTTCTCGCAAAATAATCACTTGGGAATGTATATATTGTTCCGTTTAATCTTGGGAGAGACAAGTCATTTTTCACTGTTGCTTATATGATCCGGGCAAATGTTGTGTCCCCCCCCCCTCGGACAAGTAATGGCCCCTTTCTCCAGCCAATGCTGATAAGAGCTGTGGCCCTAGAATGGGTTTTAACTGCATCAGGTACTTGGCCAACCCCCATAGTAGGATTGCAACACCTTGCCCCCTCCTCCGCCCCCTCCCAATTAAGCTTGTTCGGCGGGGGTTGGACATGTGGGACAACCATCGTAAAGCCATCAGAAATCTATCTTCCACGTTCACCGGGGTTACAAACCTCTGGGACTTATAAACCCCTGTAAGGGGAATCCCACCTTGTAATTCTACGTGCTACCCCATGTATTTCTGTGGTTACTGTGGTTCTTTCTCAACCC